TAGGTAAAATTAACATTATAAAACGTCTAGAGACTTTGGCCAAATTTATAATCAATTTATTACTAATGTATAGTGTAATTAAATATTTACCTTTGCAAACCATTTGGGATGGTTATGCAATATTTAAATGGTATTTTTCAGCGTCCTTTCTGAAGCTGTTGAAATTTACAAGCTCGGCAAACCCTGCGCCGCTTTTCAATCGCATCACTTTATTTTCAAAATGGAAATTTATATTCATTTATATAAATAAAATTCTTATTTAATGGGATTATTTTTCCCCTAAAATGAGTTCGTTTTCAGTCGTTAGGATCATTATTTCTCAAGATCATGTAATTTGGCATTCGTTGGTTTAATCACACATTGCATCTCATAAAGTATGTTGAAATAGTTATTATAAAGAAATTGGAAATGACATCATTATTTGGGTCGAATGACCTTTCCAAAGCGCCATTAACGTACTTCCAAGTTGTTTGCGTGCAGAAAGTAAAGTGTCAATAGGAAATGATCCTAAGGACTTGGAGAGAGTTCAAAAATGAAGGTGCTTCAGCCATCATTACCAACCGAATGCAGTATGCAAAACAAGGTAAAAATTTTTTTCTATCATGTTTTTCTCGAGTAAAGTGCAAATTATATATGATCAAATGAAATTTAGGTTCCGTTCTGACGAAAATTTTTCAATACTCAAATGATAGGAAATTTTAAATTACCTATGCGTTCTGGAAGTTGATTTCTATGCTTATCTTTAGAAAGCAGACGAAACATAATCTCTAGAACGTGTTGATTGTGAAGACGAATGGGCTCGAAAGGAATTCTAGACAATGGAATGCAATTTTGTTCATAGCATTAATCGCAGATACAGCACAAGGTCAATAAACCCTTGTTTAAATGTCATTCATAGCCTATCGTTACGATTTGATCAATTGTATACCGAGGTCAAAAAGTCCGAATTTTTTTAACTCTTATAACTACATCTTTATTGAAAATTTATTCCGCAAAATCATATCTTATTTTCTTCGAATTTTTCGACGTTCTACTGAATTCAGCAGCGATATCGCATTGATGCCCCCAGAACATCCCTTACTCAAAGTACTACCACATTCGTATAATTTATCATCGTTAATGTCATTTACGGTTGTGCAATGAATAGCTTTCAATATTCATTTAAAGAAGCATTTGAAACCACCCACCAATATGACCCATATATAACTTTTTGAATTACTCACATTCATATGCCCCTAACATAAAGTGCTACTAGATAGATAGTCAACTTAATTCGATTTGTGTCTTTGAACTGGTTGGAATTTGGAATTTATTAAAGTTAACCAAATCAAACTTGTGAATAGCTCGAAGTTTGAGAGGAACCAATCGATACTTTAATGGGATACTGTGACACAAGTACAAATATCTACAAGAAAAATAAGCTATGGATTTAAAGCGGCCGTTCAAAATGTGTTTCACCAATAATCCCTCAATTCAATCTTCTCGTATAATAATAACGATTTATTTCATTTTTCCAAGTGAATAATTTAATATAGGCGCTAGATACTTTGTTTATTCATTCAGTAGTATCTGTCCGCCCGATTGCTGCACTAGATGCATGTTTGCATAATACCTCCTAATAGCAGGTTAGTCGCATTATATTTACCTTTAATATTTGAAAAATTCGAATTGACGTTTGCAGCTAAATCTTGATAAATTTCCCCTAAATGATGAATATAATGATGGGGTGCGCGATAGACTTACCTCCATGTGGTGAACCCTGGGCAACGTATACTCATACGGCAAAGAAGTCTATTAACCGGCAGCTGACTTCAAACTACGATGACCCACTCTCTACCTTTATGTCTGTCTCTTTTACATCTGTGAATCCCTCTTCTGCTCGCCCTCTCGACTTGTTGTGACTTTAATGTTCCTTCCCTCCGTGAAGCCCGAAGTCAACCTTTTGCTAATGATAACTATCATGACCATTTCAGTACTGCTTCCATTGGATCACAGAACATTCTTGTGGTTTTCCAACCCACTGAAGAAAGCGTGGGAGGATAGAGAAATGAAGCTTTGAAGGTCGAAAATTTTAAAGTATGCCACAGTGCTTAGCATCCAGACTAAATCAGTGTTTGTGACTATTACACTGACTGGTTTTTTATTGATGGTCATCCGTGACCTCTAACATCACAGGTGAATACATTTGTCGTTGCCCTCGATCTCCCCGGTCTTATTAAAATAGGTAAACAGGAGTTTGTTACCCGTCTGGTGGTAAAGTGCTCACACGTACCAAATTATGTGATGTACATGACTAATCATGTGCTTTGCTAGTTAAAAGACACCGAAATGTGCCCCACTAATTTGTGTACTTTTATCCAATGAGAGAAATGTTAGTACTTCTAAAGGTTGGTTACAGCTTTTAGCTTAGTCATTTTGTTCTATATTTGGAATTGCAATCTCCTTTCCAACTGCTCATCCAATATCCTACTCATATACTCACAGCATGTGCCAAGCGAAAGATTCCAAAGTAATAAAAGGTGGATTTATAATCACTTACCGAGTTTAATTATGGATAAAGAAAAACAACCAATGCTTAAGCATATTTACTTTATAAATCTTTGAATTAATTAAAAAAATATTTATTTCTAATGAGTTCTTCTTAAAACATGAAAGAGGAATGAACACTTATTTTGAATGTTTACAACTGTAACATCGGATTCTTAGGTTGCGCCTTTGAATTATTATAAAGATAAGTATTCTTCTGGTTTTACGAATCTAATTTACGTGACAAGTAGCTTGCCAAGTACGTTTAAATACAATTGGAATAAAATATAAATTGTAAAGTCATATTAAATCGATTGAAAACTTTAAATTGAAATTTAAGACACTTGCATAACTGGGAATCGATAAAACTACTTCCCCACTCTGATATTCACGTGTGCACTGTAGTGAGTATCGATCGATTTAAATTGAGGTTCAATAGTGGTGAGATCAACTCATGGGGAAAATGAATTCACGATCGGGTCAAGTGCACTCCAAAAATGTACAGAAATGTGCCCTAATGTTATGTACTTCATAAAATTTTAGTACCTTTGTTTTCTGTGTTAATTTGGAAAAAAATTTGGCAATAAGCAAATGAAAAAAAGAAAGAAATAAGAAGTCCTTGATAGCGCTGTAAACGCAACGTTGTTGATTCCCTATAGCCACTAATAATCTTTCTAGTTGCACAGTGGGCTGGTACGCTCAATATGATGGTTATTAAAATTCAATCAGGTCGCCTTTTCAAGTGGTAAAGAGTTATTGCCTGATTAAATCGACCTTTGTGTGCCCCTTCAACAAAATTTCCTCAGCTACTATTAATGCTAGCGAAATGCCTTCGTTATAGGCTTTGAGAAGATATGGAAGACAGCAGTACCTCGACTTACCTCATTTCGTTCGTTCATCGCCACCTGGACTGTCCACCCTCTTAAATTGGATATCAATTTAATCTCCTCATCCTCCTCCTGGTTTCTAATGGCCTTCTAATCTAGTCCACCTAATTCGTGAGGCTCTAACTGAGGGAAGGCTATTGCAGCCTTTTACCCCTATGAACGTCATGAGTTGTATGTGGGGGGGGGGGATATATAACCTAATTTGATTTGGTTGCGAAAGTTGCTTCTGAAGACCTAGAGCTACTCCTAGAAATTGGGTTTTCAGTTTTAAATTGCACTTCTGCACTTTTTTGGACAAGCGTTGTATTTCGCCTCCAAAGGATAGAATTCAAATTTTGTTTAAATTTGTTGTACCTTTTGGGCGCTATCAACATAATCGTTCAACTTTGCATCCTTCACACTTTCCATAACAGCCATAAAAGTGAAATGCAGTTTCTGAATCAAGAAATATGTCGAGCATTTGCTCATTAACTGATTAGCTTAATAGTCCGGCTGTGATTCAAAGCCTATCATCCATCAAGTGGTACAGGCACTTGTCCCCAAGAAGTACATTTCCACAATAATCTTCTCCTTTTGGATTCAATTATTCTATTTATCAAAAAATAAATAAAAGTCTAACTTATTACCCAAACCTAAGAAATGGATAGAAGAACTGAAAATTCATAGATCTTAGACCCCGATGCTCGATTTAATTGCGTAAACTTATATCCTGTAACAAACGTTGGGAGGTAGTTTAGCTAATTAAGCCTCATTTAATGTGACAATATTACTAAGTGAGCGCAGTACTGAGACCAAGACATTTGAAGAAGGGCATATGTAGCAACGCACATATGCTGGGACTTACGTTACCGTAGGAAGTCTAATTATCAGTTTCTTAAATAGCATCAAATACATATGGAAATAGTGAAAGGATATAAATGTCTAAAAGAATAAACTATAAGAATAGAACAAGATGCTTTAAAGAGCACACGAGTGCATTTGGCCCAATGGCAGCGCTCTTCCAATGTTTTAGCTTTCATTGGTCACAGTTCTCCTGCGTTAGTCGGCGTGACGAAAACTACAATCTTAGTGAGTGGCATAGCCTTTTTCAATTCTTGAGAAGTAGATTGCTTCATTTGTCAGCTACAAACCCCATGCTCGTCTCGCCATTGATTCATCCGTTAAAATAGATTCAGGTGATTACTTATCCGAATGTGTACCCATACCTGATTGATAAGACTATTTGCTACTAATAAGATTCAAGTAACAAGGATGTTCTCAGTTAATTTCTATAAATTTTTGAGCATTTTAATGCAACCCTATTTCGACATTTAAAACAACATACTTTGAGAATACTTTCTAAAATTATAAGAACAGGAAACGATAAAAAGATGCGACGTGAAACTATAAAATGGTCCAGCAAAATAATGATATGGCGGGACATATTCTCAATTATTTCAATGATGTAACATGCCCTTATTCTCTGAGGCAAGCCAATAAGAAAGAAAAGCACATTTAGAAGTGTTAAAAGACAAATCCTCTTAGTTTTTATTACGATTGAAATATTTACAACAACAAAAGAAGACACCGATACAAACTGTACAAAAATCACCCGTGGTCATCTTCAGTAGGACCTGGACAATTCGTCAGAAGATCTGTTTCATCGGAGAATTCTGCACCGCACCAAAAGCAATAGAAGTGTTTCTCTCGAAGGTAATTAGTGAGCCGGTAAAGGATCACGTCCGGCTATAAAAAAACGAAAGCAATTAAATGTACTGCGATATTAATATACCTACGGTGATATCTAGGGACAATTTAATAACAACATTCATCAACCAAATCCATTCTTTTATTGAGATGCTGTGTTTGAAGGACTTTGGTAAGTTGAGAATAATTTCAAAAATCATGAAACCAATCGTGCCACCTTTTCATATAAACATGGAACGAAGATTGGATCAATAAAGTACCAAACACAATTCGCATGGATTGGCAGTACTAAGAACTGTGGTGTCAACCATCGAAAGACAATTGAACTATCAAGAGACCAACATTGCCAAGAGCTAGGAACACAATGGCTTATTCAATTTAGCCAAAATTTAGTTCTAATACCATATAGAAGTAAAATCAGAGAAGGCAAGCATAGTAACGACAGCCATGCTGCAACTAACACTTAAGGGAAAAGAAACTACTTGGTAATGGAAACTACTTAAATTGAGCAAATTGAGAAAAGATAAACTGAACTTCAAACAGTCTTAGAAGTCTATCTGCATTTAACGCTTCCAAAATGTATTTATAAAATAACGATATCTGAGTGGTAATAAATTTCAAACATAAAATACATCCTTAAAATAACATTAAAATACCAAAAGAAAAAGGCTGAAGATGATCCAAATCATATTAAAATTAGGACAATAGCATACCTGAGATTCGACAGGACCATGTTGAGCAGCATCAATATCGCAGTATTCCTCTTCATCCGACTCAATACCAAGGACTTTATCATATTCTCCACGATGTTCATCACCAAGTTCTTCAAAATCACTCCCATCTCTGCTTCGGTCACGTTCAAGACTATTATCCACATTATGTTTCGGTCGTTTATTCCGAAATCTCCGAGGTCTTTCGGAACGACAAATCTCTCTGCGAATTAACTCCGACTGGGATAGAAGTTTAGCCCGGATTTCATCTGGAGGCCAGAAGGCACTGTCAACGGGCTCTTCTAAAGATTTAGATACGTCTAGGCGTTTGCAAATGTGACGAGCAGCAAGCAGCTGACGTTGAGCCCTCTCTAACCTAAACCTTGAGGCCATTGTAGCGCGAAAATCGGACTGATAGGAGGATAAACATTGTTCTCGTTGTTGACGCAACTGCTCAACTTTCTTTTCGATATTGTGAAGGCCTAAACCCCGCCGACCTTCAATTACTTCAATAGGAACTGGTTCCGAACGGCCTTCGGCTAAAAGATCGAGTGGATTATAGATGAAATAACCTACCCTTCTTGCCAAGTCCTCCACCACCCTTAAAGCCCATTTTCATCAGCATCTTGAAGCCAATATTATCTTCCCCAATGGGCTTTTTTAAGCCTTCTTCTCGATTAGCAACCATTTGTTTCCCTCTTGGAGCGGTTTTAGAAACCTTAGTTCGTCCCTCTTCGGTACTACCTTTGACTGATTTTGAGATAAAGCCAGAACAAACTGGTTTAACTCTAAAAAAATAAATTGTAAATACTGCCGTTACGGGGGATTTAGGAATTTGTCAGACATATAATCCTCATCGCTGTCCTCATCACCCATTACGTTCGAAAAAAGGTTTTGTAAACGAAAGGGGTATCAAGCGGGCAAAAAACTATATAATTAATACATATTAAAATTTGCTTTAATATTAACTTTAAAGTATGCTATAATTAAACTAACTAAAGTCAGGAACATCATAATATAATTTATGATCAAATGTATCATATTTCTCTGAAAGAATAAATAATTCTACTAATACGTCTTTAATTTGAGTTTAATTTTAGAATTAAGATATTATCAAATATCTTTTTTATTCTTTTCAAACGCTGCGCGCGCTATTTGAAACTTTGTCAAAATGGGCAGGCGCGGGTTTGTTTCGTAGTGATTATTCATTGGTACCATTTTTAAGGAGTTTATTTTATGTTTAGCTGTGTTTCTTTAGATCTCCTAGTCCTCAAAGAAGACCAGTAATGCCTTCTAGGCCAATGGCAAATCGACCAGCGGTCGCTCCACCTCCTCCAGTCGCACCACAACAACCCAGTATGCTTAAACAAGTAGCCGCTACGGCGGCCGGAGTAGCTGTCGGTTCTGCTGTTGGTCATGCAGTTGGCAATGCTCTTACTTCTGGTGGAGGAGGTAGTGCTGCTCCTGAACCAGCTTTTGCTCAGCAACCCCCGGCTTCTCCTGCACAAAATCAAACTCAGAATTGGAATCCTTGCCAATATCAAATCGATCAGCTCGTCAGTTGCTCTCAGCTTAACTCTGACATTTCTCAATGTCAACCAATTGCCAACGCCTTGAGGGATTGCCATCGCATGTATAATCTTCAGTAAATATTCTTGCACTAGTTTTCCGGTAAAATTTCATGTACTCTAATAAATTAGATAAAATTAAATCTTATTCGCTGTTTTGATTAGATATTTATAAAGTTTGGTACTCATTATTTTCCTTTGTTTCACCAAGTTGTGATTGTATTATTATCTTGTGAATCATTTGCCTATGATCCCGTTTTATGCTTCCCAATCGCAGCGTTCCATTCTTCTTGCTAAATTTGTTTCCATCACTTGCTTGGCGCTTGTTTCTAGATATTTTATATAGTTATGAGCCTCGAAATGGAAAATGGGTTATTTGACTCTTTTGGAGCGGCTAAAATAAGGAAGTGTCGTGTTTCAATAAAGTCAACATCAATTCCTCAGAGGATTTATTTATATTAAATGGCAGGCGTTCTGATAGTTATCA